AATCCCAGTGCCTAGAGGGCAGAGACAAACAGATCTCTGTGAGTTCAAGGTGTAGTAGTGTACACCTTTAATCCCGAATGCCTGGGAGGCAGAGACAGGCGGATCTCTGAGAGTTCAAAGACAGCCTGGTCTACAGAGTTACTTCAGGTCAAAGATACAGAGAACCTGTCTCAAAAAGCAAAAAGTTAAAAGTAAAAATAAACGAAATAGAGGTTGAAACAAAGCTGTACAAAGATGGAAAATACACAGAGAATCTTGATACTGTATGCTATTATGCTCTCTTTGAATTGTTTGAATGCTGAGGAAGGAGCAACAGCTGCTAAAAGATATTTATTTATAAATACTGCTGAACTAATCCAACATAGATATCTTGAATTTGGATCTAAGGATATGATACTTTGGAAAAGAGTTCCTTATTTTGTTTTCACAGAGGATGAGACGCTGTTTATTTCTTCTATTCCGATTTGGTATGATGGACCACGTCCTCCTGAATGGTTCCTGTGCACGCCTTCAGAAAATTGCTTTGCTCAACTGCCAACTTAGATGAAACTAACACACAGGTTATAACATGAAAGACCTAATTAACGATGCCCCCATTCAGCAGGAAGCAGTTTGGAGAGGAATAACTGCGCCCATATTCCCAAAAAATGTTTATAAATGTTCTTTTACATTTAAAGGGGGATATGATATAGGTATGAATAATTTACATTAGTATAGATTTTGCTTTATTGATAGAGATTTAAGGTCAATTTTGTTATATGTATAAGTGTTTCTGATTTTGATTAAGGTATTGTGATAGTGTAGTTCATTTAAATATGTACTGTATAATTAAGAAGTATAGGTTGTTGATGGATAATTATCGATAATAGTAAAGTTTGTAGTCATGTTAATTAGATTTTCTAGATATATAGAGATATATTTTAGATAGACATTCTTCATGCCTTTCAAAGATTACAGAATAGGACATTTAATGTTTTAATAACTGAGGACTTTTCATGACAATGAGACACTCTGCTCCTGGCAGCACCAATCTACTTCAAGAGGAAGAAGGGCATCGAAGAGGCACCTTATGGAGTTTGATAGCCATTTGGGCAAGAAACTGCTCTTGCCTGGACTATTGCATAAACTGGACACAGAGAACCCGCAGAGAGAGGACTACTGAACTTGCCTAAGGTGAGATGATCTTTCGGGGTTCCTGATTCATGAAAGAGTCTGCGAGACATTCTGCAGGACACAACAGATAGTGACTGAACTGACTTTGAATTTTCCTGCTTTATGGAAATGTCTGCTGGATAGCATGGGCCTGAAGGCTGAAGATGGATGCCCCAACGGTACAGAGGAACTTTGGGTGACTGTCCAGGCAGCGAGATGTCTCTGCCATTTCTAGAGTTTTAAAAGTTGCTTTTTTCTTGTTTGCTTAGGTAGTATTGTATCTTTCTGGAGTCTTTGATGGAGTTAAGAATAGTTAGTTATAGTTATAGTTTTCCTTAGTTATGACAAAGATTATTGTAACTTTTACTTGGTAACTGTTTTGTTATATGTAATTTTGCTATGTTAAAGCCTTTTTTTTGTTTAAACCGAAAAAGGGGAAATGATGGAGGACAGTCATTGGCTAATAAAGGCACTGCCCTGGCCCATTTTATTGGTTAGAGGATAGGTGGGAGGAGTAAACAGAACAAAATGCTGGGAGGAAGAGGAAGTGAGCTCAGAGACTACACAGCTCTCCTCTCGGGAGCAGATGCCTCAGAGAGACGCCATGCCCCGCTCCCGGGATGAAGCTCCGACCCAGGATGGACATAGGCTAGAATCTTCCCGGTAAGACCGGTTCTCACAGATTATTAGAGATGGGTTGATCGGGATGTGAGAATTAGCCTGTAAGTGCTAGAGCTAAAGGGCCAAGCAGTGATTAAAAGAATACAGTGTCCGTGTAATTATTTTGGGGCATAAGCTAGCCGAGCAGGCGGCTGGGGTGCTGGGAATGCAGCCACGCAGCCGCTCTTATTACTTCATCCCAACTCCCGGTTTTTATTTTTCTATAGTGTATTCCTTATTGTCTGTACTCTGGGTGGGCTGATCCCCTGCCCTGGAAACACTAGCTCTCTGAAATCTTTGGCACTTAGAATGCCCAGATTGTTGTGTGCCAACCCCCTTGGTGCCACTCATGGTTGGGAATTAAACTCGAAGGAGATGGGCACCATGACACAAACACAGACTTGCCGGGCTACAGCTTTAAGTGTCCTGTACGCACATGAACACACAGAGATGGCTATACTGGAAAGTCATATGTCAACCTGACACGAGCTAAAGTCACCTGAGAGGGGAAAACCTGGATGGAGAAAATTCCTCCACAAGATTGGGCTGTAAAGCGTTTTCTTAATCAGTGATTGAAGTTCGAGGTCCCAGACCATTGTAGGTGGTGCCATCTCTGGGCTGGTGGTCCTGGGTTCTATACGAAAGCAGACTGAGCAAGCTGTGGGAAACAGCACCCTCCATGGTCTCTGCGTCAGCTCCTGACTCCAGGTTCCTGCCTGGAGGAATTCCTACCCTGACTTCCTTTGATGACATGGAATCATTGGGTAAATTAACCCTTTCCTCTTCGTGTTCAGAGTGTTTCATCACAGGTATAGACACCCTAAAAAAATGACCTCACACAAAATACACCTGTGGTCATTTTTGGGATCTAACACTGAATTGGATTTTATTTTTATTTTATTTAATTCTAATTTATGTTTTGTGTAACTATGCGTCTGTATGCTGCTCACTGTTGCTGGTGCCCTTAGTACTCAGAAAGGGGACATCAGATTTTTTGGAACTGGAGCTACAGGCACCTGTGAGCAGCCTGATGTGGGTGCTGGGAACCGAATTCAGGTCCTCTTTAAGAGCCATCTCTTCACCCTGTTTTCTGAGACAGGGGTGGAGGCATCTCACCATGTACCCCAGGCTAGTCTGGTACTGAATATGTAGTGCAGGCTAGTCCCTAATATATGATCCTCTTGCCATAGCCTTTGGAGCACTGGGATTATGCTGTGGGAGATGCTCTTGTACACTGTAAAGATTTGTCACTCGTATTGGTTAATAAAATGCTGATTGGCCAGTAGCCAGGCAGGAAGTATAGGCGGGGCGACCAGACTAGGAGAATTCTGGGAGGAGGAAAGGCTCAGTCTGCAGTCATCACCCAGACACAGAGGAAGCAAGATGAGAACGCTGCACTGAGAAAAGGTGCCAAGCCACAGGGCTACACACAGATAAGAATTATGGGTTAATTTAAGTTGTAAGAGCTAGTTCATAATAAGATTAAGCTAATAAGTCAAACATTTTATAACTAATATAAGCCTCTGTGTGTTTCTTTGGGACTAAACAGCTGCAGGACCAGGCGGCACAGAAACTTCCATCTACAGGATTATGGGCACGTGCCACCATGCCTGGCAGGAAATGCCATAAGTAGGCTTTAATATTTGTACATTATAGTACGCCCATTTGCTTTGTCTTTTATTTATTTATATAAGTCTAAAGTAACAGTTTAAATATGTAATTTTTATTTTATTTCCTTCCTGGCTTGGGGTGGACTGAGAACTGCCTTATGAAAAGAAACGGAAGGTTTGGACTTCTGGCAGCGCAGCAGCAGCTCCACCTAGTGGGGATGAGAGGGTACTGCTATTTGCTCAAGGTCCCTCCTAGGGGAGGATGGATGTGAAGTGTGCCCATCCCTTCTCACCTTCTCCTTGGCCTCTGCCTTCTCCCTGACTGGTGCTGTCCTGCTTGGTTTTATCTTGTCAACTTGACACAGGCTAGAGTCAGCTGGGAAGAGGGAATTTCGGTTGAGAAAATGCTTCCCTAGATTGGCCTGTGGGCAAGGCTATGGTGCATTTTTTTTTTTTTTTTTGGATTGATGACCAATGAGTGAGGGCCCAGTTCACTGCACCGCTCCTGGGCCAGTGGTCCTGGGTCGTGTAAGAAAGCAGTGTGTGTGAGCGGGCCATGAGGAGTAAGGCAGTAAGCAGCATCCCACCACAATGCTCCAGTTGAGTTCCTGTCCTGACTTTCCCCGTGTGACCTCAGAACCCCTCCCCAAGTTGCTTCTGGTCATGGTGTTTCATCACAGCAATGGAAACCCAAACAAAGACAGGTGCCTTGCACAGGTGTAAGCTTGGGCATAAGTTTGCAGCCACTTTGTGGTAAACCGGAAGCCCCTGGAGCCCCATTTTGAATGCAACGATTAGGAATGCTTCTTAGGTATATATCTTGCCTTGCTTTTTTCCTTAGTTTTTAAAATGTAATAATTAACTAGTTTGTGTGTGTATGTGTGCATGTTCATGTGTGTGAAGTGCATGTGTGTATGAACATGTAGTGGCCAGAGATTAACCTCAGACATCATTCCTCAGGAACAATCCACCTTGTTTTTGAGACAAGGTTCCGCACTGACAGGGGCTCACCACATAGGCTAGGCAGGCCAGTTGGTGACTACGAGGATTCTCCTGTCTCTGTCTCCATGGCACTGGGATGACCAGTGTGCAGCCATGCTTGGCTTTCTACGTGGGTGGGGGTCGAACTTGGGTCTTCAAGCTTACACAGCAGGCCCTTTACCAACTGAGCCATCTCCCCAGCCCTGCCCTGGCCCTCTCTCATGCTCACTTTCTCTTCTTCCTGTCTACTATGAACTGAAGAAGCCCCTCTACCATCTGCCCTTGCCGTCAACATGGTCTGCTCAAGCCCAGGAGACACAGCACCCGTGACAGAAGCCTCCAGAACCATGAGCCCAAACAAAAACTCTCTCAGGATGTGTTCTGCCAGGTGTTTGTTCATAGTGACTAGAAAGATCTAAGACAAAGACAGAGCCACAGAGGGTTGATGTGACCTGGCTCGGGCCCTTGACTGCTCGGTAGCAAAGTCAATAGAATTTTAGACAGTAGATCCCAAACCAGGCTCTCCAGACCACCACATATGAAGAACGGCCATTCTACTTCAAAGTGTGTGCGTGCTGGCAGGTGAAATTTCCTTACCTGATGTGTGTGCAGACCCTGTGGATGGGAACCAGGCAAAGACAGCCCCCTGTTCGGCTCCTCTGGGCCCACTCGGGCCCTTCTCCACCTCCTGGCCCTGCGGTCTGCAGTGTGGAGGGTCTCTTCTGAATCGCTACTGTCAGAAGTCTCTCTGCAGACTGCCTGGGGGTTGAAATTCACATCCAGCTCTCCCTGGAGGCGCATCTTCTCTGCTGCGGGGTTCTTGGGGGCCTTCCTCTGCAGCCAAGTCAGCCTGGCCCGGCGTCCAGCTTCCCGAGACGAGCTGGTGGAAGAAGTCTCTGAATCGGAGCCCATGGCCTCAGGGTTTGAGGGAGAGGTGGCTGAGGGACCTTGGCCAGAACACTGTGTAGGTGGAGGCTGGGATTGCTTGGCTCTGCCCTGGGACAGCGGGCACAGCTTACTCAAGGCCTCACTGTAGTCAAAGTCTTCCTCACTGTCGGAACCTAATTCATCATAGGCCGACGTCACACTGGACGCCACCTCCAGGGCCTGAAAGGTACCACTCTTGGGTTTGGCCAGCAGGCGGTTTGGAGGCCGTGTACCATCGTCCTTCAAGGCCATCCAGTTTCCATCAGGGCTCTGCAAAACTGGGGCCAGATCTGTGCGGGAGAAAGGAGAGAGAAACCAGAGGGGGTCCATTACCACTGACGGAGCAATCTGGGCAGCACATCATCTCCCATGACCGGCTCCCTGTGAGTTTGCAAAACAACCACCTTTAGGAAGAGCAGGAGGGCGCACCCAGCTCACAGGAGGCTGAGTGTTCAGCCATAGATGGGTTGCTATCATTGAATCAACTTCTTCCATTCAAGGCTCAGGGAACATGGACAAGGAGAAAAAGACTTTGAGATGGGGGATGGGGAGGAGAGCTGTGGAACACTGACTCACAGCCGTGGTAACCTGCATGAGACCTGCACGGTATGGAGCCAGTCCTAGGTCCAGTATGGGTGGGGGAGGGGCTCACGGGGGAGGAGTTATCAGCAGCTGATGGCTGCAGAGGGAGGCAGAGTTGCCTGTCTTTGGAGATGTGGACCCTAGTAGGTTGCTGATGTCCCAGGACCAGTTGAACTCAGGACGATAATATGACATGAAATTGGAAGAAAATGGGTTGAGGGGTCCTGGGGATAGCTAGGAGGAGGTCCTGGAGGTGTATATAATAAAAATATACTGTATGCATATATAAAAATTTTAAAGAGTGAAACTACTATTAAAACAAAAAGAGTTCTCAGGGACCCTCGGGGGCTTCACAGATGGAGTAAGACTTGGGGTCACGGTCCCTTTTCAGGCCACCCGAGTGCTGCCCTGCCCTGGTCTGAGGCTGACAGAAGAGATGGAGAGAGCTGTAGCTGCCTGTCTAAGTTCTTGTTCTTCAACACTGGCCATGGGTTTCTCCCTTAGGTCCTCAGTTTCCCCTCACTGATAAGGGATAATTCTACCCTGCCCTGAGGACTTTCACAGATGTCATTGGCAGTCTCACTAGACGGGTACGAAGCCTATGATTTATTAACCAGGGTTTTGGAGAGGCCCTGAGGCTGGGTGGGACTGGTATTTCTTGTCTCAGAGGCAGGAATGAAAGCACAGCAGCAGAAGCAGCTCTCCCCTTGCATCCTCTCTCCACTCCACGGCAGAAACCCAGACAGAGAGCAAGCAAGATGTGACTGCCTCGCTGAAAAAGGTACCAAGCCACGTGGCTAACACAGAATCACAAACAGCCTGTCATTCCAGTTCCAGGGGATCTGATGCCCTCTCCTGGTCTCCATGGGTACTGCATGCATAGGCACATATATGCATAAAACACCAAAAATAAGAAATAAATAATGTTAGAAAAGAGAATTTCAAAAGAACCAAGGGTTTAGGCTGAATCCTGGATACAAGGTTACTACCAGAAAGTTACATCTCAGAGAGTGCCTCAGCCTGTTTCCTGGCCTGTCAGTGGGGTTAGAGGGACCCAGAATTGCCTTCTGTGGGGCATCATGACATGGACTATGAAGCCCACGGAACATGGTGCTGGATGCACCAAGCACTCTCCGCTTCTCGCATCTGTCTATTGAGTTGGATTACTAAGTGGATTCTAAGCCTGGGTCGTGGACCACACACACCCACTCCACAGTCATGCACACAGAAAGCAGATGTGTGTGCCGTTGTCATTATTCAGTGTTGCTTGTGCTCCTCTGTGGCGCAAAGGGGTGTCAGCCAGAGCTGAGTGCGGGCTGAGTGGCCGGGGGAGCCAGGAAAGGGGCATGGCTAACTTCCCCATCTCAGATCCTGTGATCTGCACCCACAATTGCAGCCGGCACCCTCAGAGCACTCTCTGAACCTCTGGCTGCCAGCACTTCTAATTTTTCAGCTGAACCATAACCTAAGTTCAAGACCCGTGTTGTGTGCCCTAGGCCGGGGCTGGAAGGCTTGGGAATCGTCCCTTGCTGGGAGCGTGCCTCCACTCCCAGGTGAATCATAAGCCCTTAGGTGCCCACATTAGACTCCGCCTCTGGTAGAAGCCACAGTCACTCAGAAGATGCAAAGTCCAGTAGGACCCAGGAAGAGCGTGCTCCAGAGGGTGGGAAAGCTACCAAGTTTGCATTCTGGGCGGGGCCTTGGCATAAACTGTGATGCTTCCCCTAGCCCAAGACAGAACAGCAGAGGAGGAGCCTTCCCCCACAACGTCCCACTGCCCAGGTCCGGACAGACAGAAATGTGGTACTTGTCCTCCAATACACAATATATGACGGGATTAGCATCAACCTGTTGATGGCTCTGGGGACAAAGAGCAGAGGGAGAGAAGGGGGGACAGAATGAGGAAAGAAAGGAGAAATAAGGGACAGGAAAAAGGAAGAGGCAGGGGAGAGAGAGGAAAGAGGGAGACAAGCAGAGGTCACGAGCATGCTGGGTATCCGAATGGTGTGTCTAGGAATGAAAAGCATTTAAAAACCAAAACCATAAAACTACACCGATAAAGTGCTGGGCTGTCATCTGAGTGTTGCAGCTGCACAGTCTCCATGCATCAGCTGCTCCACCCCTCAGCTGCTCTACCCATCAGCTGCTCCACCCACCAGGTACTCCACCCATTAGCTGCTTCACCCCTCAGCTGCTCCACTCATCAGTTACTCCACCCATCAGCTACTCCACTCAGCAGCTGATCCACCTATCAGCTATTCCACTCATCAGCTGCTCCACCATCAGCTACTCCACCCATCAGCTGATCCACCTATCAGCTATTCCAGCCATCAGCTACTCCACCCATCAGCTACACACCAGGCACTGGAGGATTCACAGGGACGGGATCTCTCCTGGGAAATCTTCAGATGAACAGATATTAAGCATTTCTGAGTCTTTGCACTGGGCTGATTTTGCTCATAGGTAGGCTGTTGGTTAGTTATAGAGGGGAAATGACAGCCAGTTCTTAAAAGTTTACTTCTAGGGTAGCCAGCTTTCTGTTATGCATTTTTGCCGAGCTACAAGCAGGTTGAGAACACCACTAACAGTTGGTCCACAGGACAACATGTGGGTCTGCCTTCTGCTGCATGCATGTATTCACCCGGTGAGGAATAGACCTGTGCTGGAGGGAACAAGCCCCCCAAGTGTGGGGCTCTGTGGCCCCTGGCTTCTATTTACATGACCACGACCATTGTGTGAGAGCTTAGAAAAGTAACTGAGTCTAGGTAAGACCCAACAGCTTTATGAAGGGCCATGCGTTACAGACGTCGATGTGAGTTTCAGTCCCTTAGGAAGAGGCAGATCATTCTAGAAGCAAGCAGGAAGAGCATAGACACAGCAGACCAGAGTGCCACCCCTTAGGATAGACAAGATAACTGCCTTGCAAGGACCCTTTCACGGCCACACATACACACACACACACACACACACACACACACACACACACACGTGCGTGCGCACTCGGCAAAAGGTCACGCGATAGCTGGCAAGTCTGCAAACGGCACTTGTGAAACCCACTTGGAGCCAGGGAGCAATGGCATACACCTATAATCTCAGCATTTGAGTGGTGGATGGAAGCCAGAGGATCAGATAGATGTTCAAGGTCATCTTTGGCTTTGTAGGGAGGTGGGGGCCAGCCTGGGCGCTACAAGGTCTTATCTCATCAAAACAATACACAAGCAACAACAACAACAATAAACCATTACTTGCTCCATCCAGCCCGTCCATGCTCTTCCAGCTGGGCAAAGCTGACTCCTCCAGGAGACGCTGGCCACGGTCCCTGGCCTGCCTTGGTGCAGCCTCCGCTGAACAGGTCTTCAGGGCGTCGTCTGTAGTGAAGGAGTATGCAGACTGAGACCGCTGTGGAAAGAGAGATGTGTGAGCTTTTAGCACAGTCCTAGGACGAGGGCCTCTAGCTCAGCAGTGAGCATGGTCCAGCGAGCAGAGGACACTGCACGGTGAGGCTGTCTTCCACAGCCAGGCTAGGAGCCACAGATCAGCACCGATGTTTGCTTTGAACACAGTAGGCTGAGGAGGGAAAGGACACTTCACAAAACCACTGAAAGCATCCATGAAGACAGGGACCTTGGGACCCTTGAGCACACCATCTCCCAGCTGGTTGCTGTGACACCCCCACACCCTCCTATCCCAGTGACAAATGCTCTTTTTGCCTCTCCCAGCAGAGGGGAGAGCAAAGGAGACATGGTGTGCTCTCTCAGAGATACACAAGCAGGGCGTGGCAGGATCTGGGCGGAACGCGGGAGCCCTGTGCTTGAATGTCATTTCTGCCACGGCCTTGGCCAACAATCTGGAAACTCCCTTTTCCTCTAAGCTCACTGTGCATTTCAGGGTAAGTGATAGCTTCGAAACTGTCCAAGGGCTGGGGAGACGGCTCAGCCAGAGAAGTGTTTGCTTTGTAAGCGTGAAAACCCATGTCAAACCCCCAGAACCCACGCTGAAAACCAGGTATGGACAACTGAGGTGGTGTACACACATCCATCCTGTGCCCCAAGGTCCTGCTCATAGGGGAGTTAAGCAGACATGCATCACAGGGCATGCAGCCACACTGCATCCAGTCAGGACGCAGGAGGTGCATTCTTGTCACCAGAATCCAGGACAGTTCTGGTGACGTAACTCAACAATATAGGGCAGGGTGGTCAAGGAGTTATCTCATTTTGCCAAATCCTTTGCAGGAAGTTAAGAGGCCTCAGAATCACTGCAATGAAAACTTGTTCCAACAGGTGACGCGGTAGTGCTTGTGTGCCTACCAGGAAGTGCTGGGATGACTTGAGCAGTTGGCTTTCTCCTTACTCTGACTCACTCCTGCCATCCCTGGTCTCTGCTTTTCTTCCCTTCTTACCCACACAAGGGTCTGTGGGAGAAGCCAGCTTGGAGAGAGCTGGGAGGGCCCGGGGAGGCTCTGGACCCCCCGCTCATGAATGTTCACGTTACTAACACACAGAAGATGGAGAGATTTGAGCCGTCAGGCACCGCCTCTCTACTCTGGAGGCGGTAGCTAAGAAGTGGTCAAAGTCATCTCCTCTTGCACCTGGGACCTCAGGGGGCTTTTTAACTATTCAAAGGCTCTATTTTCCTCAATGTAAGGGTCTCAATCCTGCACTGGTGTGAGAAAGCAGGTTCTCCGTGAGCTGGAGAAGATGGCTTGCTTTGCAAGTACGAAGACCTGAATTCGATTCCCAGCACCCACATATAAAAGCTGGATGCAGACGGGCAAACATAATCCCAGCATTGGGAAGGTGGAGACAGAAGGGTCCCTGGGGCTGGCACCTGACTTGTCTGAACTGGTGAATTCCAGACCAGAGGCAGAGCCCATTCCCAAAAACCAAGGTGGACCAAGCTGGAGGAAAGACACCTGAACTTGACCTCTGACCTCCACATGCACACCTGCACACAGGTGCACACACACATGCAGCCCATGAACATCTTTATCTTTTCTAAGTTGGTCTCCACGTAAAAACTCCCCAGCAACCTGTGCTTTCTCTCAGCTTCTTGCTCTCCCCTGTATCCCACATGCTCCCCCCCCACACTCCCTGCTCTCCGCTGGGACCTGGGTAGCACTCTCAACTCCAGATGGCAAAATGTGCCTCACCCTTTCCCGTGGGAGAAAGGCTCTAATCCACACACAGGCATGCAGAGAGTGTGTGGGGGGGGGCAGCAGCGCTGTGCCGACTCACCCAGAGGGTGGCACGTGCTCGCTGTTGTCCTGGAGGGGCTGTGGTCTCCTCATCCTCGGCCTTCACACCATCACTCTGGGGCTGTGGCCACTCCGGCCCCTCTTCCTCTGCCTGTGGCTCTGCTTTGCTCTTCTGCTTTCTTATAATCTGGGGAAACAGGGACATATCACTGAGGAGGCTTCAGGAGGCTAAGTACCCTTTCCCAGTCACTGAGGAGGCTTCTGGAGGCTAAGTACCACGACGGGGTCATCTTCGGGATGCTTTCCCATACACCCAGAAACTTAGTCCAACAGCTTGCTTCAGATCCCCCTTGTGTTGACAGGGCACATATAGCCTCGATGGCCTACAGCTCCTGTGGTTGACAAGGGCAGCCACCCTTCTCCATCTGCAGGGGAATCAGCCTCCTTCACAGCAGATACCTCACGCCACTGACAGGACTGGGGAAAGTGCCAGTCGTGCAAACATTGAGATCAAAGTTTGCTCCCCAGAACCCTCGTGAAGAGCTGGTGGGTAGCTCACAGGTGTCATTCTAGCACCAGGGAGGCAGAGACAGGAAGGTGTCTGAGGCTCACTGGTCAGCTGACCTAGCCTAATCTGTGGGTCCCAGGTCCCAGTGAGAGACCATATATCAAAAATCAAAGAGTGATGGAGCTTGAGGAATGATTGCCGTAGGTGGACATAACATGGTATAGTGTTTGCTTAGAGAAACTATGAATCTCCTGTATCCATCAGGACATCTTCAAATCACGTACAGCACCTGATAGATGTGTTATTAAGATAGTTGCTGGGCTCACTGTTTGGGGAACAATAATGAGAGAAAAGCATACATGTTAGTAAAAATGTAGATGTCATGGGTGTGCTGTGTGGTACCAGGCAGGCGATGCTCAAAGCGCAGGAATAGGAAAAAACAGGCTTCTGGAGGTGGCGGAAGATCAGTGGTTAAGCTAGCATGCTTTCTTGTCCGTGTGGACTCAGCCTACTGCTTGGTCCAGCAAGTTCAAGCTGTCCTTTTTGGAACCTTCTGGAATTCCTTTCCCTACATGTTTTAGATCCTTGGTTGAATGACCTGTATATAAGGGGCCCGTGGCTATCAATGGCTGATTGTGGTATCTTTCTGACGTTCCCGGGTTCTCTATGTAAGTGACTCTCACTCCACGCTAGACTCTGTGCTGGGGACTACAGAGGAATTCTGGGAGATGCACACTGCCATTCTCCGCATTTGATAGGAGAGAATGCAGGACCAGCGAGACTCATGTGTCAGCTAAAGCTGCACAGCACACAGGCCTGGTGCCTTTGGCTGCGGGTCTTCATTTGGCTGCGGGTCTTGACTGGAGGAAGCATCTGGAAGGCTTAAGGAGAGGCAGACACCCAGGTCCCTTTTTGCCCTCAGCTGTGCTGGCACAGCCATGTGCAGTTAGTGGGTCCATGGGTATAGATTCCTCTGGGCCCCTAATGTCTACAGATGGGGCAGCTGAGAACGTGACCAAGGTGGAATTCCTCAGTGGGTATCTGTTCACAAGTTTGTGTGTGCACACATGTACAGAGGTCAGAAGTCAACCTTGGGTACTCTCCTCGGTCTCTGTCCTTTCTTTATATTCAAACAGGGTCTCATATTAAACCTGCATTTTGCCTACTGGGCTAAGCTGGCTGCCCAGTGAACCCCAGGGACCCACATTATCCTGGGATGAAAAGCACAAGCCACTCAGGGTGTGCGGTGAGCTTTTACTGAAGTGAGCGGTCTCCCAGCTCTCAGTGGACTTTCAGATGACCGAGTCATGAGAAGGGCAGTCATGAATGAAGGTGCCTGCTGAGGCAGAGAGGTGCCAATCAAGGCACTCCTCCCATTTCTAGGGTGAGATCAGCTGTATTTGTCTATGGGCTTTCAGGACTCTCCTCCGTGCCCCCCGCAGGGCTGGCCAGCGCTGTCTCCTACCTTCTAACGCTCTACATCGGGCTCCAGGGGAGACCATCTGTTAGCTTAGCTCCCAGGTTTCCAGCTGCAGGTGGAGCTATCCCTGCCCTTACCCAGGATTGGGCAACACCTCTGGGTGCCCTCAGGAGGGAGGTGTCCTTGCCGTGTGAATGGGGTTTGAGTCTCTGTGGCTGAGAGCAAAGGATGAAGTTTATCAAGATATTTTACTGACAACCCTTCTCAGGGGTCTCTATAGTCTTCCCGTCCATGGGAAATATTCCCTTCTCCGGCCTCTGCCCTGAGTTCTGCCAAGGGTCTGATGCTCTGGCCGCTCAAAAGTGAGGAAGGCAGGGGCAGCAGACAGACTGGACTCTGTGGCTTGCTTCCTTCTGCTCTAACTCTGGTCAGGGTATCAGCCAATGGGTCCATCCCGAGTTTGCCCTTCAGCTCTCCAGCCCCTGGCCTGGACCCTGTGACCATCTGAATTGCCCTACCCTCTGCAGGATGGTGGTAGCTAGTTCCTCAGTCAGCTCTTCTTTGTGGTCCCGCAGGTAGCTGGCCTCGTTCTGCTTGTCCTGTGGAGGAAAGAGAATGGAGAATGTAGGGTCATTGTCACAGCGGTCCTGGCAGCAGTACAAAGGAGGCCACACACGCCTTGCTGAGGCTAGAGTGATGTGGACTGGCCATCTGCACTTGCTTGTGACAGTCAGTATGCTCCCACTTGCTACGCCGTCCTGGGCCCACCACAGGAAGGAGGTCCTACCAGGCTGTCCCCGTGGGATTCTGCTTTGTAAATAGCTTCCTCAATGGCTTCTTCTGCCACTCGTAGGGCGACAGCCAAAGTGTCCATCATGCTGTGTCCTAGGACGGGAGAGAATATAGAACGGGTCACAAATGCCACATGGGTTACTTTTCTGCTTACAATCCTGGGGTTCCGGGACACACTCGAGCTGCTCAGGATGGAATATGAGCCCACTGTCCTCGGCATCCACCTCACCACCGCCTCCACCATCACCCGCGTCCCACGCCATCTGTCTCCCTCTCCCATCTCTGCCTTCTGGTATCCTTCTGTGTAAGCGAGACGGTTCTGGAGGCTGTCAGAAAGTAAGGTTTCTTTGTCCACACTCTCAGACAGCACACATTCTCACTTCCATTTGGTACACTCCCCCATGGTGATAACATGGGTAGAAATTATTAAATGCCCCAAAAGACACTGGGCTACGAACATGGCTTACAGCAAACCCTGGGGCCATAGACAACTATTGATGACTGAGCAGAGGCACGTGCTGGGGTCCAGCTGAGGGTTCCACATCTCTAATCATGACAGTTAATCCAGTCAGGGGCCTTGTGGTCAGAGAGCTGCACGTCTGTAGTCACTGTGGTAATTCACATGGCACAGAGGGACCTGTGATACTCACACTGGCTGGGTCATTTGCCCAAGGTTACACAAGGAGACAGCATGTTACTATTGCCATCCAGTACTACTGAGAAAGGCTTTGCAGAGTAAAATGAAGGCAGGACAATGATCTTTTAAAATAGCACAACAGTGTGTGTGCATGTGTGTGTGCGCACGTGTATACATGTGTGTGCATGAAGAGGTCAGAGGTCGACTCCCAGAACTGTCCTCTATTTTTTGAACTAGGTCCTCTGGCTGGACCTGCACTCAGGGATTCAGCTGGAACAGCTAGAGAGTGAGGATCAGCATCCTCCTGCCTCCACCTCCTGAACTAGGATAGAAAGTTCACGCTACCGCACTCAGTCTTTTACGTGGGTGATGGAGATATCCAGCCTGGGAAAAGGACCAAAAATAATTTTTAAAATATTACAAATTATTACATTGAAAATTATAGTGTGTTGTGTGTGTGCCTGTCTCTCTGTGTATGTGTCTGTGTGTGTGTGTGCCTGTCTCTCTCTCTGTGCCACAGCATATGTGTGGCACCCAAAGGATAACTTATGGGAGTCAGTTTTCTTCTTCCCATGTGGTCCCAGGGTTGAACTCAGGTCATCAGGCTTGGCTGTAGGCATCACTACCTGCTGAGCCATCTCACCTGAGGTAAGGTTTTATTTTTAGTATATATTAATAGGACAAAACACTAGATGGTGTTGTGACATGTACCCAACCTACTCTCACCACTGCACTTTCAAGGAACAGGCTCGCACATTCTCAGCCAGCATGACCGAGCACACAGAGCAGGCTCCCACATTCTCAGCCAGCATGACCGAGCACACAGAGCAGGCTCCCACATTCTCAGCCAGCATGACGGCATGCACAGAGCAGGCTCCCACATTCTCAGCCAGCATGACGGCGTGCACAGAGCAGGCTCGCACATTCTCAGCCAGCATGACCGAGCACACAGAGCAGGCTCGCACATTCTCAGCCAGCATGACGGCGTGCACAGAACAGGCTCGCACATTCTCAGCCAGCATGACCGAGCACACAGAACAGGCTCGCACATTCTCAGCCAGCATGACGGCGTGCACAGAGCAGGCTCGCACATTCTCAGCCAGCATGACCGAGCACACAGAGCAGGCTTGCACATTCTCAGATAGCATGACCGAGTGCACAGAGCAGGCTCACACATTCTCAGATAGCATGACGGAGTGACTCCGCTACCCTAGGTTCTAGGCTGGGTTCCCGTGACGCCCTGTGCGTGAACTCAGGTATTTTCTAAGATAGTGGTCATACCAGGCATTCAACTGCGCATGTATGTGATGGGGATGGTTACCAAGTCCCAGAAAGGCTTTAGATGCCATGCTATAATTTTTTGATAAGGGTGTTGGTCTAAAATACAGACGTTAGTAAATTATAGGATAGTTTCACACAGGAAGCATTGGTTCCTGGCTTGACTATTATCTTCCAGTTCCAGAGCTCTTGTTGGTCAATCACAGCATGGTTAGGATCACAACTCCCCAATCCAACAGCCTCTCCAGCCCTCCCACGTCCCAGTGGCTGTCCGTATAGCAACCTCACCTTCCGACTGCCTGTAGAAAGTCGAATCACTTCCTGAAATGCTCCCTTCATTCTCCAGGGTCGGTTCAAACAATCCTGCTCCTAGGGGAGAGAAGAGCACGGCCATGAAAGGTCTCTGATGAGCAAGGATGCGTTTGAGCCACCGAGCTGGTGCATTGCCCATGGTGATGAGTTTGATGGGCTCTCTAAATGCTACCGTGATCTGGTCTTTGACACGACGTCTCTCTCTGCACAACGGTTTTCAGTGCAGCTCAACCACGACTGCCTTCCAGTATCTTCTGCTATGGCTTGAGTATATTTTCTTTCCAAGCTCACAATCAACTCTGACCTTCAACCTGACGGTATCGGGAGAACCTGCCCCTGTATTAGTGGGCTAATGTTATCTTGGAAGTGGGCTTACTGTGAATGACCCCTCCTTTCCTGGTCGCCTTTTTCCCTTCCACCCTGCATGACACAGCAAGAGGGTTCTTGCCAAGGGGCTGGAGAGATGGCTCAGCGATTAAGAAGAAAGCTTTATTGCTCTTCCAGAGGACACAAGTTCAGTTTCCAGCACCCACACCAGGAGGCTCAGTCTGTTACTCCAGCACTGAGGGACCTGATGCCTTCTTCTGGACTCTGTAGGCACTACACTCGTGCCTGTGATTGTTTACACACAGGAGGGAGGGAGGGAGGGAGGGAAGGAGGGAGGGAGACAGAGAAGCTTTGCCAGACTCTTAACCTTCTAGCAAGAGGCTTCTACTGTTCCTAAGTTGTACAATCTTGTGTATTCTGATAAGCAGCCTCTGTTGGACTAAACCTTCTTTGGAGCTAGTATTGGGGAAAGGCAGAGCCACAGGGTGAAGCTGGGGACGTGAGGCTGGTCTGTAGGTCTGCACAGTACCTGTGTACCTCTGTACATCTGCACAGTACCTGTGTGTCACCTCAGCTGGGGATGTGAGGCTGGTCTGTAGGTCTGCATAGTACCCGTGGTTCACCTCAGTATGTCACCTCTTTGGCCCTTGACCTCCCTCCATACCAGAAAAACAGGTACATGGACGGTACCCCGTTGCATGAAGGGGCATCTCACTCATCTCTAGATGGAGGCCACGGCAGTTTTCCTAACAGTTGAACAGTTGCCCTGAACTAATGGTCTGTCACCCTTGTCCACTGTAGAAGCATCCGTGTAATGCAAGCTGAGAAAAAGCAAGGGAAGCCACTGCATTTGACCTCGTATGACTTCTGCTTCTCTTGGTTAAACACACCTCCCCAAGAAGCTTGAAAGAGTCTAACTGGGACCACGAAAGGCCCCATGACTCCCAAGCAAGATGCCTCCATCCTGTTTCCCCGTTTTTTATGCAGCAGGCATAGTTTTAGATGAGACACAGCCAAAGACTTCATTGAGAACACAGCAATATAAAATAATGACGGTAAAAAGCTGCAATTGAGAGAGATGAAGGTTCTTTTCCTTTCCCTGATTCTCGTGGATAAAAAGCATTTACCCATGTCAGCAGCTCTGAGCAGAGCTACTCTGGCAGAAAAACACAGCTTCAGGATGGAGCTATGTAGCTGACAACTTCCTCCTCCTGGCCGTCTTCAGAGGACCGAGGAGTGCAATTTCTCATCCCAGTAACTTGGCTGTCCTGTCTAAACACAATGTAGGCTCCCCAGGAGGACACCGACACTCCTGTGACTTGAGAGGATGCTGGATTCTGAGTCCGGTAAACAGAACCCAGAGTGTGAAGAATGTAGGATAGGGACCTGGTATAACCTCTATGAGGAAACAACTTTCTGGTGTTTTGTCAGCAGGCTGGGAAGGTGGCTCAGTGGTCAGAGCACTGCCATACAAGCATGAAGACCTGAGTTCAAATCCCCAGGATCCGTGTAAGAAGCTGGGTGTGGCCTCGTGTGCTTGTGACCCCACTGCTGTGGAAAATGGAGCTGGGAGGAACTGGTGGGTCCTGCTGGCCACCAGACTGGTGCCAGGTCAGTGAGAAGCCTTGTGTCAAGGGAACGAGAGAGGGCTAGAGAGAGAACGCCATGTCTTCCTCTGGGCTCTCACATACGTGTGCGCAGGTGCAGGGACACACAGATGACTTCTAAGACTCCGTGATTAAAACCCCTACAGGAATGTTCAGAGCCCATTCACTGGGGAGATGACCCGGGAAAGTGTTTGTTGAGGCCCTGAGCTCGATTCCCATTCTTTTAGGCTGATCACGATGTTCGTGCCTTTAATCCCAGCTCTAGGGGTTGGGGGAGACGGTGGCGGGGAGGAGACAAGTCGGCCTCTGGGGCTCCCTGGCCAGCCAGTCTAGCCTACATGTTCCTGACCTGGGAAAGACAGCAAGGTAGACACCTTTTGAGGAAGGAGGCTAGAGGTCCGCCTCTGGCCTTCACATGCGTGTGCACACATGTGTTCTCACATCCACACACATGTGCATTCACATACACAAGGAGACATTAAAAACAAAACCCTAGTTAAAACATGACACTCCATGCCACCTGCCCTCTTTCCAGAACCTGCCATTTAAACAAGTTTCTCTGTCCCTATGAAGAACGCGTACCCCAAGAACAGGGCCTCCAAGCCCAGTCTTCTCCCCTCATTCCCAGCCACCAACACCTCCAGAGCGCAGAGAGTAGGGTACCTAGGATGTCAAAGCAGGCACCGCTCTCTAGACGGTGTTTCCGGTACAGGTTCTTCAGGACCTTGGCGCTGCCAAAACGCTTGAAGCGGCTCTTCACGTTGCTGTAGAACCATTCCAGAGACTGCGTCCTCAGAAGCCTGTTAGACAAGCAACAGTTAGTACTGAAGAATAGCTACAGTGCTTAGGGGGCAACCCCCTCCACAAAGAGGTGGCATTTGTGCCTCACGAAACCGACCCGGCCTGGCCACTACCTCTGGCTGTGGAGAGCAGTAGAATGAGGCTGAGCCCTGACCTGCAGGCTCCTCACTGGATGCTTTGGGGTCCCGCTACCTCTCACCATGGGTGTGGACCCACGCTGGCCTTCTCTATGATGGAGACCTTTGGTGGACCAAGCCTCAGAGAGGTAAGCGAGGCTATCAGCCATCAGGTGGCCAGAGATGCACAGGGCCCCTGGCTGAGAAGCTAGACCCACCTGAGCCTACCCAGGGAGTCAGCAGGTGCTTGTTAGTTTAAGCTAATAAGTTCTGTGTGGTTTAGTAACGCAGAAAAGCTGACTCACAGAAACGCCTATTTAACAGTGGGCTGTATAGTTGGTACTCTACCATATTATCAGGCTTCTCACCCAGCTTGGAGAGGAAGAACCCGTGAGCCAGCAGAAGGCTCAGGACTCTTTCTCCATCAGCAGGAAGCACCATGGAAAAGGGGTTTTCTGGTGAGCAAGGCAGCTGTGGTGTGCAGACACTGACGGAGACTCCCTCACGTCCGGTAAGGATGGACGCTAAAGCCCTTCTGGTGGAGGAATCACTTTTGTTACTTTTTAAAATATGAATGTAAAAATACATTCTCTTTGGAGAACATAAAGATTTCCAGATTAAAAGGAAAAAAATTCCAAATTCAACCAAGGAACAAGCCAACACCAGCGTCTTGTGTGGACAGCATCCTCGGGTTAGAGCAAATTCAACCAAGGAACAAGCCAACAGCAGCGTCTTGTGTGGACAGCATCCTCGGGTTAGAGCCTGGCCCGCAGAAGCCCTTGTGGTGTTCTTATTGCACCTTGTTAGGCCTGTTGCTGAAGCAACAGGAAGCCCCAAAGCACAGAATCAGAAGACAACCTAAAATAACCACACTCTTTCCCTTTACAAAAGCCACCACTCTGCGGCACACAGCAACTGTCAAGCCCTTCAGGAGCTGGTTGTGTGAGCACTCTTTCTAATTTCTGTTTACACAGAATGACTCTGCTGGTAAACATTGTGTATTTTCATCCCCAGACCAGACGAGAATCCTAATTCAAGCTGAAGAATAATGCTGAGTAATTAGAACCTCGTTAGAGCCTCACCTAGGAACGCCAGACTGGTTGAGTGGATGTAAAAGGCACCCTTGTGAGAGCTGTCCGTATACAATTCTGTTCAGGTCCTAGATGCTAATGAGGAAGCCAGGTGTCCCCAGATCCCCAATGCAGCAAGACAGGGCACCTTGTGGAAGGAAGCCCCAGGATTTCCCTGCCCTGGGTGGGTTGGTCTTGGGGCCAGCAGCACTTACTCCACTCAGAGGTCTAGCAGAGAAGTGTAATCCAGCCAGGCAGGGCTTGGTTCAAATCCAGTCCTGCAGCTCTCTCTGCTCCCAGGTGGAGCTGGTGGCCACTATCATGGGTGTCACCTGGAAGCTCGGTGTGAAGGCACAACCCCGGTCATCCACTATCTTGTCAGTCTTGCTGGGTTACAATTTATGTTACAGCAAAATTCTCAGGACATCACAGCCTGTGCCCAGGGACCTAGCAAAAGTTACTGGATGTTTTAGAAAGTGGAATGATTATCTTGTCAGAAACTTTGATAACAAGAGACAGAGCGATAGCTCATCTCATTCCGTCCCAGTTCTCTAACGAAAATGAACCAGACTGGCTAACATACAGTTATAGAGCTGGACAAAACAACTAAAACCAAGCTCAAACGCAGGTGCGATAGTTATAATAAAATGACATCAAAGCACTATGACCACACACTCAAGTCTTTGCACTTGGCCAGCTTCAGCAATGACCCCTGAGGGTGGCGAAACACTGACATTACTTCTCTGGTAAGACTAGAGAATGTTACACTTACTAGCCACGTCCGAATTCAAGTCTCCTTCGTCACACACCACTAAGGAGGCAGAAATAAGAGGAACTGAATAAGATTCTGAAGTCTGCAGGCGTGTGAAGTATTTGCCCCCCAGGAAAGAAAGGAAACATTTCTGGGGATCCCTTTACAGTATTGAAGAAGTGTTGCTGTTCCCTCAGAATGTGACCAGCCACTGGGCTGCATTTTGTCCATTACTGCCCATGTGACCGAGAGTTACTGATTGCTCGGGGTCTTGTCTTCCTTACTTAAAGGAGCCAAAATTTATGAGGCACATGGACAGACTTAATGCACTGGCAAACCAACTGCAGGCTTTGGATACAGTAAGAACCATAAAGTGATAAGGGGTTTTTTTTTTTTTTCAATCTCTAGAACCCACATGCTAGAGGCAGAAAAAAGACTCATATGTGCCCTCTGACCTCACATATGCACCACGGCATGAGGACAGGGACTCATATGCACTGCCCCCGACATGCACATAAACTATGATTACATTTTAAAAGCAACAAATGCATCCCATGATATGAAGGAGCTGCCTGGAACTCCTAGTGTGGTCCCCTGTAAGAAGCAGATGGTACTCAGAACTTCAGCCAATTATATGCTTTGGGGAAAGGCCACTTCTCAGGGCTTCTCCCTGTATCACAATACAGTGGGATAGATACTAATACAGTAAGATAGATACTACAAAACAATCATACCCCAAAGAGATGCTTAAAACCAAAAGTCAAGGCAGTGGAATATAAACAGAGAACCCAGAATTGAAGCCGCCATTTCCTGCATACAATCACCTCTAATGAAGGCACTGGAAACACACAGCAGAGAAGAGACAGCATTGGGCATCCATGCACACAAGGCTGGAATGAAGCCCTCATCTCTTGGCCCATGAACCACGCTCAAACCCCAAGGAAATAACCTGAGACAATGAATACACTGAAAATCAGAGGAGCTATTTCAAGACATTGTGATGAAGGCGATAACTTTTAAAATAAGATCCCCAAACACACATGCAACAAGGGCAAAAATAGGTCAGTGGAATTAAACCAAGACCTTTGGCACACATAGGTGACACCTGACAAAGTGAGGAGACTCTCTGAGGGGAGGAAAAGACTATAAACCATAAACTGTTCACCCAACAGGGCTTTAAGACCCAGAGTGCATAGAAACTAAAAAATAAAACATCCCCCCCCAAAAAAAACATAACAAAAAACAAAACTTGGGCAAAAATGGCAAATTATTTGATATGCCAGAAGAATTTTATAACCCCAACAAGTCTACGAGAAAGCCCCGACAGCATCCTTATGGAAAAGGGAATGCAAAGCAAAGTCACCGTTAGAAATGCCTTCACCGGGTTAGAATGGCCTGGTGAGATGGCTCAGCAGAGAGAGGCGCTTGCTGTGAAGCATGAGGATCTGGAGATTGACTTCTCCAACACCCCCGTGGTGGGAGGAGAGACCCAACTGCACAAAGTTGTCCTCTGACCGCCACAAGGATGTTGTAACATGCATCCATTCACCCACAATAATAATAAATGAAACGGAATGAAAAGGTTAAAAATGCTGAGGAGAATGCAGAGAAAGGGGGACTCTTACAGGCTCTTGACAATGTCGATGAATATAGGTGCTATAGAGCAGGGTATGGAGTCCCTCAAGATCTAAACGAGAACCACCATGTGGCACAGACGTTCCACGGTGTTGTTCTAAAGGGATACAATCAGTGAATCAAAAGATGCCTGTGTGCCCATGCTTATTACAGCACTATCCATTATAGTCATGATTTGGAATCAAATGAGATTTTAATTAATAGATGAATAAAGAAAATCAAGAATTTGCACAAACTTGAGCATTAATCAATCCTAAAGATGAAAGCCTGCCCTCTGTAGCAACACCAACCAGACTGGAGGGTGACACCAACTGACACAGCCGGACACAGAAGGAGAAACACAGGTTCCCACTCACGTGGAAACGAAAATTGACCTCACAGACGCAGAGAGAACAGAGGTGACTAGAAGTTGAGAGGGTTGGGGGAGTAGACATTGTAGTCGGAGGCTGCTCTTTCGTTTCCTGGCTGCCCAGACCCGAATATTCACACAGAAACTGTATTATTACAACATTGTTTGTCCTATTAGTTCAGGCTTCTTATTAACTAACTCTTACATCTTAAATTAACCGAGTTTCTATTATTTTATATTTTACCATGAGTCTCGTGGTTTGTTACCTCTTGCTTCTTAGGCAGCTACATGGTGTCTGCCCTTTCCGGCAGCTACATGGTGTCTGCCCTTTCCGGCAGCTACATGGTGTCTGCCCTTTCCGGCAGCTACATGGCATCTCTCTGACTCTGCCTACACTCTATCTCTATCTCTGTTCTGATTTCCTGCCTGGTTTTACTCTGCTAAGCCATTGGCAAAGAAAGCTTTATTCATTAACCAAGAAAGGCATCACATAAACAGAAGGACTTCTCACATCAAACAGAGCTTGTATAACAGGTCTAATTACATAGCAGTGGTAAGATCTAACTACCCACGGGACAGTCAGGTGGCTGCATGTCACAGCAATTTATTACATATTTTAAAAAGAACCAGGAGAGGTGCTGATGAGTCTCAATACAAAGAAGTAATAAACATTTAAGGAGACAACAATGCTAAAGACCCCAGTGTGACCAATACACAATGCATATTAAATTAGCACTCAGTGTTCTATACACAAATGTATCATGATGTCAATTAAAAGTCTTAATAAAAAAGAGAAGGGGGGGGTCTGAGACTGATCCATGCAACCCACATGGTAGGAGAGAACCAACTCCTGAAAATTGTTCTCTCACCCCTACACATGCACTGTGAACAAGAAGCACAGTCTAAATAATCTTATAACAATTTCTACAAAAGGTGCAAGAGCTGAAGAAACGGCTCCATGCCATCTGCTAGTACAGATCTTGCAGAGGAACAGTGGTGGATTCCCAACACCTGTATTAGCTGGCTCACAACCACCAGAGACTCCAGTTCCAGGGCATCTAGCACCCTCTTCTGGCCT